GGTAGTCATCGGGTTAATTGAACCTATTGAGATAGAAGAAGCGGGAGTTTATATCGCTGCTTGTATCAGTAAAGTGTCTGAGAGAGACACAGTGCCTATAAAAGTATTAAATGTGAATAAAGAAAAAGTAATACCACCTAATCATGTAGGTAGGTAAGGCTAGTAGTAGAGAACAATTAGCTGCAGTAGGACAGCACAGTATTAATAGTGTTAAGAAACAAGTATAACAAAGTAGGATTCTATCTTGGGAAAGGTAAAACAGAAACATAAACAGGGATTAATCAAATTTTTAGAAGAATACAGAGATATATTTGTAAAGGAAAATGATCCTAATGGTTGTACAAATAAACTCCAATGACTAGCTCTAAAGGCACTACCTGTTACAGTGGTAATGAATTCAAAAATGTGCAAAACAATTATTTAGAGAACAAGTAATATTTAGTATTACCAGATGGACTTATCTGTGTAACGTTAATATCTTTGTGATAGACAAGTTCAAGTGCTACTCTTTAACTACAAAATTTCTTTTGATGCTATGTTTAAAATGTTAATTCATGGATACATAATTTCATGGTCTATAAAATCCAAGTTTGATGTTCAAAAATAAGTAGCTTGTAAGAGACCCATACTTCAATTTCAAATTTCCACATTTATTAGCTACTGTCCTGTACCATTTTCTTCAAAAACAATGATAATGTAGAAGCAGTTAATCTGTTTTGAGCACAATAAATCAAACACTTACCCATTTTCAGTTGTAGTTGTGTTGTCTGGAAAAGTTTCTTAATGTCACCAAGAGCATGAAGAACATACTGAACTGTTGGCAATTTATTTGGTCCTTCCATAATTTTCTGAACATCTTCTATAGCAGAAACTGCAGTTATCCAGGGTATAGTAAACTCAGAATTCTTTATGAAAGACAGAAAACAAAAATCAGAAGTGAAAGTCTGCAGGTAAGAATCCTCACATTAGCAAAAAACTAATCCATGATTGTATAAGTTTGTTACATGTATACTCAACAGAGCTTCAATGCTAAAAACAATTTTCATTTTGCAAATTTTCTTTAAAGGCTGTCAATTTACAAACACATTCAAATTTTTGAAGAACATGCAAAACTGATTGGACAAAAAGCAACTAGTAAAAAAAAAACATGATAAAATACAAATGAGTGAATCCTCAATAGCTGTGGCACTTGAAATTCTTTTAGGCAGGATTAGAGTAAATTAATCTATGAGACCTATTTTTCTTTTAATTAGCCATATTTTTGAGTGCCAGTAATACCAAGCATGGGGCACACTTATACCTGATTTGATTTTATTACTCATCAAGATCTCTACCAGCCTACCCTCCAATTGAAATTCTTTGAGGCAGGATTAGAGTAAATTAATGTAATAGACCTTGAGCGTGGTCAAATACATTAATCGAAAGGGTTTGACCACCTTAGTCCAAAACTGTAATTAGATCTCTCATTTGTCAAGAGATGATGAAGCCATAGGCTAAAAGTTTGTACTTGAAAAAAAGACAAAAAAAAAACAACAAAAACTCAGAACCATTCTATGAGCCGCTATTCCATGGCTAAAAATTAGATATAATTAATGAAATAACATATTATAGTAATTTTCTTAATAAAGTAAATTTATAAACACACACATACACACCTGCCAAAATACAGTTGTGTAAAAAACAATTTTTCTAAACAGTCACAGACTGTAGGCTAGCATTAGGTAAAATTGTTGGGTGTAAATGACTCCCTTAGAAACTAAACTGCGTTTTGATGGTGATAAAAACTACATCTAATGCTACAAAAATTACCCAACATGGCGTTATAATATTATTTGCATTCAAGTGTGTTTCATCAATCTGAAATAAGCCTTCCTAAAGTCCATGTACTGGCCCATTACTGACTCGGGCCTACTTAAACGTACATGTGCTACTGTTTTTAGAAACAGAAAAATCGTGGTAATGACCATGGCAAAACATGCAGCATTAGCACACAGTATTGTTACTTTCATTAACACTGTTGGTTATACTATTTAATGAATGTTGTTACGTTTAATTTTTTTTTATTATACTTTTATTATAGATTGTTTTTCATTATTATCTTATCATATGTTTTTTGGACTAACCTAAATCTCCTAAGCTGATTGAACCTCATGAGATATCATTGGGATTATGGCTGAAATCTAACTGATGAAATAATGGCATTCTAGTCTTTATAAGTAGAAACACAAGAAAAATATATTTAATTAGCTATAGTGATTACCAGGTTGAATCTTTAGTTTCACTCTTAAGTATAAAGCTTCCTCTAATTGGAAGTTAATATAAATTAATAATTAAACAACAGACAAATAAATAATTATATTAATCAATAATCTACAGCAAAGAGATTCCAGAGACGATCATGAATAACATTCAACTTGATCAACTTTACTTGTTCTCACTCAACTGACAACACTATCAAGTAACTGATACACTGCTCTTTTAGGGTGCTATGGAGATTGCTCTTGATAAGCTTGAACCCAGAGGAGTGCTCACAAAAACAAAATGTGACTGGCATAGATCTCAAGTTTGTATACATCTTTATGAGCCCAACCATCATCATATGAAAGTAAATTTCATGAATATTTTTCAGCTTGAAACACTGGATGACTTCTGCAACTGATCTCACAAACACCTTCTATGCAAAAACGAGAAATTCACAACTGATTTCATCCCCATATAAGGCAGATAAGGCTTGCAACAATGGATTTTCTCTATATTTGGAGACACTAAACAATCACTGTACTCCAAAAGCAGCAACATATTTTCAGAAAAACTTATTTCTTGAGCATCAAATCGAATACTTTCTAAAATAATACTACTTGGAAATACTCTTTCTAGGCTAATATGACTTGAATTATAATATCTGGATCCAATGCATAGGTAGTCTCTAAAGTACAAAGTTCTGAGTACATAACATCAATACTGTCTGCTGTTTTCATGTTCAGCAGAAGGTGACAAAGCAAGGGAATGCACCAACAGTTGCTGCCCCTCATGTGGGATGGGAAGAAAAATTCTTAAAAAAAAAAAGAAGTTAATACACTGTTTACAGGCACGCCTCCTGGGAGTTCTATAGAAATGTAAGTTTGTATATTTTAAAATTTTTTCTTTGTAAAAAAATAAATACAATTATAAAATTCCAAAGCATCAATTCCAAACTATTTCCAACTTAAAATTTATTGAAAAATTATCATTTTTATTTACATTTTTGAAATTAGGTTTGCATGTGTACAGTTGAAACCAGAAATGTGTTCACTGGTTCAGAAAGGGTTAAAATAATTGAAATTAAATATGACAAATTTGTTTTAATATTTTTTTTTAATAGATGTGACTTACTTTTGTAAAAATTTCCTTATGTCCAGGTTTCCTTTAATTATGTCAATTTTGCAGTCCAAGTCTAAAAAAAAGTTTAATCTCTACTGAGTGCACTGAAGAACATAATACTACTTCATCAAATATGTAGCCAACAAAACAGATTTCGGGAAGGTGGGGGGGGGGGGGGAACCTTTTCTTCTACATAAACAATTTAAGTGATTTACCTTAGCCTAAATGAAACTTGTAAAACAAAAGTATTTAAAATTTAAGAAAGCAAAACAAAGGGGAGGGGGGCTTACCCAACTTCACAGTAATAAGCAGACAAGTTCTAAGCATCTTGGGTACATTTTTCCAAATAAAAATAAAATCTGAAGTTAGTGGACCTTTTAGAATAATAAAAATAGAAGGATAACTGATCTGTGCATTGTATAATGTACTGCCATTCATTATTGATAGTATCTTTTTTTTCACAGATATTTTCAGCACTGTTAATCTCTTGTTCACCAAACCCTCTAAATGTCTAATTATTCTGAGAATTCTAACTACCAGTGGACTTATTCTTTCATCAGAATATATTATACTTATATCCTCTTAGATAATTTGCTAAAATTGTACATAAATGCTTCTAATAAGTCATTTTAATACAAGAAAAACAGTACAGCTATAGCAGCAAACACTTCTTTAATCAGCTATCTTAGAAATGATATATTCCATCATCAGCAAACTATAATGGAAACACATCGAAAGTATGATATAAAATACTGAAACAGCAATTTACATAAAATAAATATATGTTAAGATCTGTCTGATTAACAGTGCTGAAAACATTGAAAAAAATACTATCAATAATGAATGGCAATACATTATACATTGCACATAAGAGTTATCCTTCCATTTTCATCAACAAGAAGAAGAACAGCACCAAATACTAGAACATGTAAAAACATTCCTGCCATATCCTTCATACCTCACATACACAATCTGTGGCTGAAGACCAAATGCATTACTGTTAACAAATGGAGGTTCAATGCTGATACAAACAAAATTATGAAAAAATAAATAATTAGCACAAAAAAGACAAAATTCCTTGTTCCTAAAACAGACCTGCATCAGTGGAACAAGATGACCATTTGATACAAGAATGAAGGTACACACAACTTATGAAAACACACTTTCTTGATTTCAGCAAGAATGAAACATTTGTGAATCTAATATGCAGAAGAACAGGTATTGTGATTTGTTGCAGGTGAAGGAAAAGACACAAGACTTGGTGATAAAGTTGAATTAAAACAAAACACTATTTTCTAACCAAATAAATATCGATATGCAACTGTAGAACACATGTGAACGGTTAAGTGGTCAAAGTAAAGCAGATGATTTAAATGTAGCTTACATGATCAATAGGTAGAAAATAAGATGAGGTAAGGATAAGATACTCAAAAACAAATCTTGCCTCTTTCAGATCAAAGACAAACTGTCTTTCTCCAAGAGAGAAAACTTTGCCTCTAGACCACCAAAACTACACAGACAATAAATATTCTCTTTACAGCTTATCAATCAGAAGAAGGGGCACTGAAATATGGAAGATGCAAGGTATCCTCCAAACACAAAGTCAAGAAGGACACAATGCAACTATCCATGAAACAGACGTTCCTTGACCAGTCAAGGAACAAGAAGTAACACCTCTGGCTGGAATGTTGCACACTATCCAACTTAGATTTACTGTGATTTAACATTTTAGAATTTTATAAATAAAAAAGTTACATACAATGTGGGAGAATAAGACACAGTATTTGCATACTAAAACCTTCTTCCCCTGCTTAAGCTTGCTCTCAAGCAGACAACAGTTAAAGTTTAATACCTGTTAACTGTATAAACAAGGGAAGGTCAAAGTGTGCATGTTGTGGCTGTTTTACAGTTACATTCAAAATAATATTATTAGTAATGCATGTTAATAAATTTGGCATCAAAATGTAGTTTATAATTTAAATTTCTATATATAATACAAGTTTAAATTTCTTTACTTTAAAAGCAAACATTTAAACATTTTTAATATGCACCATTGGGTCACATGATGAGGTGACACTCTGACTTCTCATTTGAAGATTTCTTCTCTTTTCTTATAAAAACTTCAGTTTGTTCAAATAATTATGATATTGAAAAGCCGGAATAAAAAATGTACACCTTTTATCATCTTACTTTACTGGGATATCACCATATTTGTTCAACCCACATGACATGCCCCTACATACCCTCTGTTTTTTAAAAAATATCTAATTCTCTCTGACATTGCTATAGGTCAAGTGTATAACCAATAAAAAGAGCATATTCTAAATGACATAAATTAGATGAATGTTTCATTTTAGCAGTCAAAAAAGAGCTTGATATGTTTAGACTAAAGATGTTGCTCTGAGCACTAATTAAATTTTTTAACTATTTATAGGTTAGTTAGAAAGATAGATAAATTATATGAATTTTAGGACATTCTGTTCTAGTGCCCGATACGTGTTCTAGAATGCATACTTGAAAGCTAAATGAATTATTTTTGGGTAAC